TATTTTTGCTTTGTTTCCCTTGCCCAAGGGAACATATTTAAAGATATATTACTCAGACCGATGTCAGATAGTTTATTTCCTATGTTATCTCCTAGGAGTTTTATAGTTTCAGGCCTTATATTTAAGTATTTGATCCATTTTGAGGTTATTTTTGTATATAGTATAGTAGAGTGGTCTAGTTTCATTTTTTTTTGCATGTATCTGTCCAGTTTTCCAAACATCACTTGTTAAAAAGATTGTCATGCCCTAGCTGGTTTGGCTCAGCAGATAGAAATTTGGCCTGCGTACTGAAGGGTCCCAGGTTCAATTCTGGTCGAGGGCACATGCCCAGGTTGAGGGCTCAATCCCCAGTAGGGGGCATGCAGGAGGTAGCCAACCAATGATTCTCTCTCATCATTGATGTTTCTATCTCTCTCTCCTCCCTTCCTCTCTGAAATCAATAAAAATATATATATTTTTTTAAAGACTGTCAATCCTGCAGTGTATATTTTTACCTCCTTTGTCACACATTGTTGACAGCATAAGTGAGGCTTTATTTCTGTGTCTCTATACTGTTCCATTGATGTACATGTCTATTTTTGTGCAAGTGCCATACTGTTTTGATTATTATAACTTTGTAGTATAGTTTGAGATGGGGGAGCCTGATGCCTCCAACTTTGTTTTTCCTTCTCAAGATTGCTGTGGCTATTCAGGGTCTTTTGTGATTCCATATATCCATGGTATATTGTTCCATTTATTTGGGTTTTCTTAATTTTTTCCCTCAGTGTCTTATGGTTTCAGAGTACAGGTCTTTCACCTCCTTGGTTACATTTATTCCTAGGTATTTTATTCTTTTTGATGCAATTGTGAATGGTATTGTTTTTTCCATTTCTTTTTCTGATTGTTCATTATTATTGTATTAGAGGCCCAGTGCACAAAATTCGTGCACAAGTAGGGTCCCTAGTGGCTGCCAGCTGCCGGCCGGGGCCTCCCTCCCCCTGGCCGCCTGCCACCACCACTGCCACCCAGGGCCAGGGGGAGGGACCACGGGCGGCTGGCTGGCCGGCCCCACCCCCTGGTCAAATTTCCAGTTGAACTCCCGGTCAAGGGGACAATTTGCATATTAGGTTTCTATTATATAGGATAGGAATGTGACAGATTTCTGTATATTAATTTTGTATCCTGATATTTGACTGAATTATTTTATCAATTCTCTTAATTTTTGGTGGATTCTTAGGGTCTTCTATATATGGTATCATGTTATCTGCAAATAGTGACATTAAAAAATGCTCAACATCGGGGAAATGTAAATTAAAACCACAATGAGATATCATCTCACACCAGTCAGAATGGCTATCAACAAGTCAACAAACAACAAGTGTTGGCAAGGATCTGGAGAAAAGAGGAACCCTCATGCACTGTTAGTAGGGAATACAAATTAGTGCAGCCACTGTGTAAAACAGTATTTGAGATTCCACTTCTGGATATTTATCCAAAGAAAATGAAAACACTAATTCAAAAAGATATATGTACCCCCTGTTCATTGCTGCATTATTTACCATAGACAAGATACGGAAGCACCCCAGGTGTCTATTGGTAGATTAATGGATAAAGAAGAAGTGAGATAGATATATAGATATAGATATAATATATTATACAATTGAATATTACATAGCAATAAAAAAGAATGAAATCTTGCTATTTGCGAAAGCCTGGATGAATCTAAAGGGTATTATGCCAAGTGAAATAAGATAGACAGAGAAAGACATATACAGTATGGTTTATGGTTTCACTTAAAAGTGGAATTTTTTTTTTTAATCCTCACCCGAAGATATTTTTCCATTGATTTTTAGGGAGAGTGGAAGAGAGAGAGACAGAGGGAGGGACATTGATGTGAGAAAAGCACATTGATTGGTTGTCTCCTGCATGAGCCCTGACCAGGGCCCAGGCAGGGGAGGAGCTTGCAACCGAGGTACATGCCCTTGACCATAATCGAATCTGGGACCCTTCGGTCTGCAGGCCCACGCTCTAACCACAGAGCCAAACCAGCTAGGGCTATATGTGGAATCTTAAAAACGAAAAACAAAACAAAAAAAAAAACACTCATAGAAACAGAGACCAAAGGGATGGTAAGCAGAAGGGCAGGGGTTGAGGATGGGTGAAAAGGGAAGGGGAATATAGTCAATAATATTATGATACCAGTAAGTTGGCCTGGTGACAGATAAATACTGTAATTAATGGGTGATCACTTTGTAAGGTATAAAAATGTCGAATCACTAAAACCAATACAACCAATATAAGATTATATACCAACTATACTTAAATTTTTGTAAATGTCTTTTGTAGGCAACCACAAAAAAGGCACATTTTCAAAGTATAGTGATAGCAAAATACAGTGTAATGCTAAACTGCTTAGTGAAAAAAATTAAATAAATTGTATCATAGTGACAATTTTATAAAAATATGAACAAATAGATCTAAAGGGCAGAAACAACTGTGGTGGTTTTGCTGGGGGGGTGACTCTCTTCTTAAAGGCGAGTATGGTTTTGAAATGCCGTCAATGAATAATATTTATTCTATACACCTTATTGTTGTTGATTTTTAATGATTTTACGGTAGTCCAAAGGCTTCTTTAGGAAAGTATCTTCTCTCACCTTTTAGAATTAGATGCACTGAAAGAGTTTTGACTATAAATGTTTATCACTCTCATTGGGCAGATTCTATCTTCAGAACTTTTTCTCCTGGCACTGTAGAAGTGTTGCCTCTGTGGCACATGATGCTGGCCCTTTGAAGCATGGCGGGTGCCGTAGACATGTTGTAGTACCATAGAAATTTTCCCTTCAGCTACAAGTCACAGAATTAACATTCACAGCAACTTCAAAAATATGGGTTCATTTTTCTTACAATTAATCTACAAGTAAGTAGTTGTTAGCATAATGGTTCTACATCTCAAAACATCAGAACCAGTGTCTGTATAATTCTTTTGTCCTTTTTTCTTTTCCTGCCACAAGATTGCCTCTGAAGCTCCAGCTCCAGAAATCACATCACTTGTCTATTGTAAAGGGAAAGGGGTGGGCTGCCCCAGGCCACATGAACGCCTTCTCAGATGCATCCTCCAACCCAGTGGTTCTCAACCTTCTGGCCCTTTAAATACAGTTCCTCATGTTGTGACCCAACCATAAAATTATTTTCGTTGCTACTTCATAACTGAAATGTTGCTACTGTTATGAATCATAATGTAAATATCTGATATGCAGGATGGTCTTAGGCGACCCCTGTGAAAGGGTCGTTCGACCGCCAAAGGGGTCACGACCCACAGGTTGAGAACCACTGCTCTAACCCAATCCAGAAACCTATCACTCATACTTCATGGGCCAGAACTTGGTGCTCAGTGTCTTTGTGAAAAGAGTATTTGGCTCTGAGCCTCCAAAATGGGAAATGGCAACGGAGACACTAATGGGTATGACCTCCGGGTAGTCAGGTGAGAGGCCTCTGTGAGTAAACACTTTGTGATGGTTGGTACAATGTGTGGACATCAGTTCACTGCTGAGGTCTGGGAGTTATACACAGTAACTGTATTTAACATGATGAAATGGTGGTGGTGTTTGTTAAGTCTCTGGTCTATCTGCCAAATTCTATCTATGGAAAGGGCACCTGGATTTATTGTGTGCCTTAGGACTTCATTCACAGGAGCTTTCAAAATTAGAAGAATACCATGCCTGGTCCTGAGATACAGACAGTACCCGCACGGCCCTACAGCGTCACCACCTCGGTGTGACTATTCCTCCCTCCCACCAAACTCAGCACCAACCAGGATGTGCCCTAAGAGAAGTACTGTCATCCAAGCCATCTTTTTGGTATTGTCCTCTACCCTCCCCAAGGAAGGAAACCAAATAAACTCACAAACTACAAAAAAAAAAAAAGATTTGGTTTTCCCACAAGGGCATCTGCTATAAGCAGCACGTTGATTTTTTGTTTGTTTTTAAAATATATTTCTTTATTGATTTCAGAGAGGAAGGAAGAGGGAGAGAGAAATAGAAACATCCTATATAATAAAAGGCTAATATGCAAATTGTCCCTTCAATCGTGAGTTCGACCAGGGGGCAGGGCTGGCTGGCCAACCACCCGAGGCCCCTCCCCAGGCTGGCCCCACTCACCCTGATCAGGGGCAGGGCCGGCCAGACCCCACCCATGCACAAATTCGGGCACCTGGCCTCTAGTGATGTCATAATATTCAAAAGACAATAAGAGTCTAGGCACGACCTACGGAGAAACTCATTTGATTCCGTATGAGTTGGGTATTTTAAAGGGTGCAATTAATTTTACATAACTCTTATTAGTATTTTTATCTTTGAAGGGACAAAGTAACATGAGGCAATTGATTATGACACTTGAGCACAGTAACAGGCAGGAAAAACTCAAATACTCTCCTGACTGTAAGATAAATTAAGGTATTCTTCAAACTGCTGCTTTTGATATTAAAACCAACTTTCTGCCCTTGCTGGTTTGGCTCAGTGGATAGAGCATTGATCTGTGAACTGAAGGGTCCCTGGTTCAATTCTGGTCAAGGGTACATGTCTGGATTGCGGACTTGATCCCCATTAGGGGGCATGCAGGAGGCAGCCAATCAGTGATTCTCTCTCATCATTGGTGTGTCTATCTCTCCCTCCCTTAAAAATTTATTTTTTAAAAGACTATACATAAATTAATAGCAGCAGCAAAGTGGTCATGTACATGTTACCAGTATATTAAAAAGGTTAACAACAAAACAGCACTTTGCTCACTTGAGATTTTTTATTTATGATGTTCAGATTTCAAATTTTTAATTTCAGAAGTGGAAGTTGAAAACATGTTAGCTAACCAGCTACAAAATACCAAAGAAACTATTGCCAGTAACTACCATTAGAGCGGAGGATTGCCAGGAAATGCACCCCTCCCCTCCCCTGCTGCTGTGGTGGCTGTGACAACTGTGGAGGGCAGACAAGTCCTTAAAGAAACTGTCTCTGTGAATGTGTTTTTAGAGTTCCAAGCTGAAAGGTTATCAGAAAAGAGACGTGAAGCTTGGAGGCCTTGGACCTGACCTTGAGTCCATCAGAGATAAAGTGAGTGTGGCGTGCATGCAGTGTGTTTTCAGGCTGGGATTTGCCCATCTGTCTTTTAGCAAAAATGTATAAGATGCCCCCCAGAACCAAGCCCTCATTCAAGTGTCTCACTCTGAATAGAGACACTTCTGAAATATCACCGGTAATAGAGACCCAGGCATCTCTCTTACTGTAAAATAAAATTACTTAGCAATCTTGTTTTTCGTATCCACCTTTCGGTTTTGAAGGCCCGAGCAGAGAAGTGGGGCGTGCGCCTGAAGAGAGGCGCGCGTGCCACGTGCACGCAGGGCTTTCCCTGGAGTCATCTTGGTAATTGTGCACAGTGGCTGCAGGGAGGACACTTAGGCTCAGAGTTTCCCAGCCCATGAAAAGTGCACCCACTTTATTCTCTTTCCTCTGTGAAAGGAGATCTTCATTTAATGTGTTTTAACTGCAGTTGCACTCAAGGCATAAAAAGAGAGTACAGTTCAAAGTTGGAAGCAAAAATGAAAATAAATGGGTAAATGCAACAAAGAAGAGGCTGAATGTGATTTAGCCGCCATGAAGGGGCCCCTGGGTGTGCTATGCAGCCATGTGCCACCCCCCCACACCGCCCCCCAGAGGCTGTTTCCGGGAGAAACATCAACTTAACCATCTCACTGCTCGCCCTCCCTGTGTGGCTGAGAGGCTTTAAATAGAGAACGAAGACCTGGCAGGACCAGCGAGTCGTTGTCACGTTGTTTCTCTGAATAGATGCAGAAACTGAGACAGCAAAAGGAATACGCAAAGCAGGTGAAGGAGTACAACATGAAGACGCTCTCCCTCCTCTCAAACCCGCAAACAGCGAAAGCCGAGAATAGCCCCGCCATCTCTCGGCAGAAGGTAAGGACTCGCTAAGGCCGCTTCCTTTTGATTATAATTAAAAGAAACCTTCGTTGCCTCACAACTTAATGAGCTCCCCCACGCTTGTTGAACACAGGGCATGTTTTAGCTACCACCATCCCTGCCGCTGCCCATCAGTCACAGACACGGATGTAAACACGATAGATACACATATGGTGCTACAGGGTTAGCCTTTTCCTCTTCCTGAAGTTCATTATTGCCTTCATTCATCTACATGTTTTCTTCTAAGTGTAGTATCCCTAGATCGCCACACAATAAAAATCAAGCAGGAGGGTGATTTCTTAGTTAATCAGGATTGGTAGTCTCTTCCGTCCGTTTTTTCTCTACCGTTAAGTAAGCCTTAAGGCAATGGTGTTTTCATGCTGTTTATGGGGCCTACGTCAAAGCAAAGGCCTTCATTGTTTCTCTCAAGTTCTTTCTCCTACATTTTTCCCAAGGGGTTGTCATATATAGCTTCCTTTATCCAAGAAAAATGATTTCATAAAATACAGATTCTCTCTCACAGCCATAGTCCTCCAACCCGGACATGAGGTGAAGGAAATGCGTTCCGTGGAGACGGGAGCTCTGCCCAGCAGGTCTGCTCAGGCCGGGAAGGCCGCGGGACCTGGGGGCCTGCAGGAGTGCATGCATGTTCTCTTTCACAGACCGGCATGTGTCTCTGTTTACTGCCTCCCTTCCTCAGGCCTTGCAGCCTCCATCCGCTTGAGTTATCATGGTGCCACTTTTTATTTTCTTCTCCAATCCATTCATTTTTTATGACGAGATTCCAGACAACAAGTCTGTCATTAGAAACTCACAGAGAAGTCACTGCACATACTGAGAAGCCTGCAGTTTCTCTTCTGAGGGTGTGTTTTTCTTTTCCTTTCTAGGACTTCCATACCATCCATTCCTGTTTTAGCCGTCAATAAATTCTTATGAAAATATAAAACTGATATAAAGGCAGATTTACAAATCATATTTAGAGATATCATTTTATTGTAATGCCTTTTAGAACTGACATCACTCAAAAAAGAAAAAACCTGCCTTTTCCAGTATCCAGGTTTAGATAGTATATGAAAAAAGAAAAATAATAATTTTTAACCTCTAATAAGTACTTGCTAGACTTCTGAGAGCCCAGGAGCGAGAACAGCTGGTGTCACAATGGCAGTGCGATTTTCTAGAGTGAATCTTGGTCTGAATCAGTAACAAGGCCTCTTTGGACAGGAAGGTCTGTAAATATCTCCTGGTGATGAGTTCGGTTTTAGTGAGACTGCCAGAGCTAACTAGGTCAAATACACGGCAAGTCTATTTTCAAGCACTCAGTAAGCCTCTGCTTTATAAATAACTACAGAAGGCACTTTAAATAGCTAATTCTTGTGTGGCTGGTTTATTTTGTTGAAACTGTAGGGTATACTGCATTATTTGCATTTTCCATTTGATCTCCATTTCCATCCACATCTTAGTACATTATTGTAACAATAGTCTTCACTTACATTATCAATAAATATTCCCTAAGACCAGATTTAATTTGAAGAATCCAGGGCTCACTCCCATTTCAAATAAAATTTTACCTGTATGCTTTCAGGCTTTGGAATATGCTAAGACCATCCCAAAACCCAAACCTTCAAACCTGGCGGATCAAGCGTCCAAGGAAACGAAAAACCCAACCTCGGCTGCAGAAGACACGTTACCTGAAATCTCACTGCTGGGCGTCCTGCAGAGCAGACACGAGAGGGAAAAGCAGGCCGTGGCTGCCTTCAAAGTCCTGCACATCGTGTAGCGACGTGTGGGGACCACAGTGCCCAGCGGGCGGCCCTGCAGCAAGGACGCGACAGCCAGCCGCTCCGCCTCAGTGATGACCTGTCGTCAGGCTGCAGTCCCTGCTTGTATAGCATAGGATGTAGGACATGGGGCCCTAGTCTACTATGGTGCCATAGTGTACTTTCTGTGAAGAAATGTTTTAATTATTTATTTTCAAATCAGTTGAACTTTGGGCCTAATAAGAATTAGGGAATAAAGCCTTTGGGTTTTATATTGGATCTTTTTATTTCTTAAACAATCTGTTCTCTTCCTTAGCAATGAAAACCATGAAATTACCCAAAAATAAACGTATCAACTTGTGTTTCTCTCTTTTACATTCCTGGTAATAAAAAAAAGTAGAAACACTTCAGTTTCTACTAAGATGAACTCAAATTGGACTAATAACCAGTATATTTTGAGATACCATTTCCAAAATATTTACAAAATTTTTAAATTTAGCCAAGGGCTTATATATGAAATTGGAAGAGCCCTGGCCTGTGTGGCCTGCTTGGTTGGGGTGTCATCCCACACAGCAAGAGGTGGCAGTTTGATTCCTGGTCAGGGCACAAACCCAGTTTATGGGTTTGATCCTGGTTGGGGCGTATGTGGGAGGCGACCAACAATGTTTCTCTCTCATATCAATGTCTCTCTCTCTCTCTCTCCCCTCTGCCCACAAGTACACTCTACACACTCTAACTTTTGCTCACTCTCACTCTGTAAAAAAATCAAGAAGATTTAAAAAATAAAATAAAATTGGGAGGGATGTGTCAGCTACAGAGGTCCCCCCTGAGGAGTGAGGGTTCCCAGGTCCACATCAGGCCTCCCAAGCCCAGAGCCAGGAAGAGAAGTCCCCGTCACTTCCGGCTGTGAAAACCACCAGGGATTGTGGCTGAGTGAGACAGAGGCTGCTGGAGTCCCAAGCAGTTCCTCTTAAAGGGCTCACACATGAACTTACTCAGACTCACTCCCTCTGAGCTCCAGCGCTGAGCAGCAGCGTAAAAGGAACCAGGGACATAAGGGGAGAAACTGAATTGTCTGGCATCAGAGCAAGAACTGAGGGGAAATTTTCTGCCAGAAAAAAATTCTGGCAGTGACCACTGTTCCTTTTCTGAGACCCCCACCTCCCATTGAGCTGGCGGACGGGCACTATATATATATGAGTCTCCCTCAACCAGGTTCACACTCTTTGCCCCACCTGATGATTTCCTGAGATCCTGCCCCGCCCAACTTGTGGGCCCACCCAAGCCATTTCCAAGTGGCTTTTCCATACAAATGGCCTTTCTTGCTTCATGATTTGGACTTTTCTAAAATCTCTCAAACAAGCAGATCTGGCCTCTGTGTACCCTCTACCTCTCAATAAGTTACCCCAAGCCTGGCACAGTGGCAGCTTAGCATCTCCTGGGTACCTCCAAGCCCAGCACAAGTGGCTATCTGCATATCGCTCTGTAGCTTGTGCCAGGTGGCCTCAGGGAGGGCACAGGCATGGGCTGACCTTGCACCTGGTGGACAGCTTCAAACTACACCAGATTACAACCCTACCACTTCCACAAGTGACACACTCGAGGGGTGGACTTGGTGAGCACCAAAGCCCACTGAAGCTAGTCCTGCTCTATAGGCTCAACTCCTGAACAGAAATTCCTCTGCTGTAGTTGTAGCTGGTAACTTATAGGCCTGGGGCTCAATCCCTCCTAGTGATGCCAACAGCACTCAAGGCTCAACTACAACAGGACAGTCCACACAGTCCACACAGGGGCGCACATGGAGCACCCAGCTCAAGTGACTGGGGAGGCTGCACCACTGGACCCTACAGGACACCTGTTACACAAGGCCACTCTAACAAGACTGGGAGATGTAGCAGGTCTACCTAACACATAGAAAACAGACAAAATGCAGAGACAAAGAATCAGGTCCTAAATGAAAAAGCAAAACAAAAATAAACAGGAGAAATTTCCAGAAAAAGAACTAAATGAAATGGAGGCAAGCAAACTATCAGATACAGAGTTCAAAACAATGGTTATAAGGATGCTCATGGAACTGAGTGAGAACCTCAAGAACTTAGTGAGAACTTCAAAAGCCTGAAAAAGGACATAAAAACCATAAAAAAGAATGAGGCCTTAGCTGGTTTGGCTCAGTGGATAGAGCATCAGCCTGTGACCAAAAGGTCCCAGGTTCTATTACAGTCAAGGACACATACCTCAGTTGCAGGCTTCTCCCCAGTCCACACCCTGGTTGGGGCATGTGTAGGAAGCAACCAATCAATGTATTTCTCTAACGTGAATGTTTCTCTCTGTCTTTCCCTCTTCTTCCGCTCTCTCTAAAATAAAATCAATGGAAAAAAATCCTCGGGCGAGGAATAAAAAAAGAAAGACCATGTCAGAAATAAAAGATACACTAACAAATGAATAACTTACAGGGAATCAATAGTAGAGTAGATAAAGCTGAAAATCAAATCAGCAATTTGGAATATAAGAAAGCAAAAACAAACAAGCAAACAAAAAAACCAATCAGAACAGCAAAAAGAAAAAAGAAACCAGAAAATATTGAGGATAGTGTAAGTAGCCCCTGGGACAACTTCAAGTATACTAACATTTGCATCATGGGGCACTGGAGGGCGAAGAGAGAAAACAAGAAATTGAAAACCTGTTTGAAAAAATAATGACAATAAACTTCTCTAACCTGTGAAGGAAATCTATATATATAAAAGCCTAAGTGATCGTTTGACCATTTGACCACTCGATCATTTGACCGGTAACTATGACACACACTGACCACCAGGGGGCAGACACTCAATGCACAGGCATGGAAACATGGAACAGACTAATGAATCTCAGAGGGAAGGAGGCAGTGGGGAGGGCGGGAAGAGATTAACCAAAGATCTTATATGCATACTAGAGTCCTGGTGCACAGATTTGTGCACTGGTGGGGTCCCTCAGCCTGGCCTGTAGGGATCAGGCTGAAACTGGCAGTCCAACATTCCCTGAGGAGTTCCGGATTGTAAGAAGGCGCAGGCCCGGCCAAGGGACCCCACTGGTGAACGGGCCTCTAGTAGGCATATAAGTCCAGGAAGCACAGAGAGTCCCAAACAAGATGAACCTAGAGAGGTCCAAACCATAATTAAGGTACAAAAGGTTAAAGACAAAGAGAATTTTAAAGCAACAAGAGAAAAGCAGTTAGTTACCGATTTCTCAACAGAAACTTTGCAGGCCAGAAGGGAGTGGCAAGAAATACTCAAAGTGATGAAAACAAAGACCTACAACCAAGATTACTCCACCCAAGAAAGCTATCATGAATCAAAGGATATATAAAGAACTTCCCAGACAAGAAAAAGCTAAAGGAATTCATCACCACCAAACCAGTATTATATGAAATGTTAAAGGCTCTTCTTTAAGAAGAAGAAAACAAAAATATGAACAATAAAATGGCAATAAAGACATATCTATCGACAAAATTTAAAATAGCCCTGGCTGGTGTTTCTCAGTGGTTAGAGCATCAGCCCACACACCAAAAGGTCACGGGTGCAATTCCTGGTCAAGGGCACATACCTGGGTTGCAGGTTCAATCCCCAGCCCTGGTCTGGGCACATGCAGGAGGCAACCAATCAATGTCTCTCACATAGATGTCTCTCTCTCTCTCTCTCTCTCTCTCTCTCTCTCTCTCTCTCTCTCTCTCCCCCCCTCCCTTTCTTCTCTCCTCAAGAATAAGTCTGGCCATGGTCAGGGCACACATATCTCTCTCTCTCTCTCTCTCTCTCTCTCTCTCTCTCTCTCTCTCTCTCCCCCCATCCCTTCCTTCACTCTCTCTTTAAAAAGTCAATGAAAAAAATATCCTCATGCCTTAGCTGGTTTGGCTCAGTGGATAGAGCGTCAGCCTGGATCCTGAAGGGTCCCAGGATAAATTCCCGTCAAGGGCACATGCCCATGTTGCAGCCTCAATCCACAGTAGGGGGCATACAGGAAGCAGCCAACCAATGATTCTCTCTCATCATTGATGTTTCTATCTCTTTCTCCCTTTTCCTTCCTCTCTGAAATCATATATATATTTAAAAAAGAAAAAAAAATATCCTCAGGTGGTGATTAACAACAACAACAAAAAACCACACAAATAAAACAAAACAAAAAAAACCAAAATAAATGAAAAAGCACAACAGAAACAGACTCATAGATCCAGAGAACATTTTGACAGTTAACAGATGGGGGGTGTGGTGGGGGTGAAAAAGGTGAAGGGATTATGAAGTACAAATTGATTGTTACAATATAGCCATGGGGATATAAAGTATAGCATAGGGAATACAGTCAATAATTTTGTAATAACTATGTATGGTGTCAGATGGGTATAGCATTTATCTGGATGATCACTTAGTAAGTTACATAAGACCCAATCACCTAACACTAATGTCATATTGTGTGTCAACTATGATTAAAAAATAAAAATGGCCCATCCAGTGTTGCTCAGTGGTTGAGCATCAACCTATGAACCAGGAGGTCACAGTTCAATTCCAGGTCAGGGCACATTCCTGGATTTCAGGCTCAATCCCCAGTAGGGGGCATACAAGAGGCAGATGTTGGATGATTCTCTCCCATCATTGATGTTTCTATCTCTCTCTTCCTTCCTCTTTCTGAAATCAATAAAAACGTATTTCAAAAAAAAAATAACAAAAATGTTTTTTTAAGCTACTTATTCCAAGTGTATAAATTTGCTAGGCATTTTGCCATCACAAATATCTTAAAATATTAACAAATATGTGCTTTTACACACAAAAAAAATTAGATAAGACAAAAGCATTCCATAGTTTACTACTGAATGTCAATAAATATTTCGTACTTTTTTAAATTTTTTGAAATTGAATGACCATTATAAAATTCCCAGGTCTTAAATAATTCTACATGATTTAAATTTTTTCTTATTTGCTTGTATTAGATTGTCAATACATCCTTAGATGACCATATCCAGAAATGGACAATTTTAACAATAATTTAAGACAAACCTATTTATGTACACAGTTGGCATAGGACTAGCTTTGAAGATTTACTCCTATGTTGTATACATTTTACATAAGCCATGATGTGGTATGAAATCTGCCTGTACTTAACTTTCTCTTAAAACTGGAAGCAATTAGAATTGCAAGTATGGAAAGAAAACAAGTATCTGAAGGGAAACACCAAAGTGACAACTCATGTTTCATTGATATTTGGAAAATCATGTCATACATGAAAAGTTATTTCAGAAAAATCACAGCTCAAGCGGCTCCTAAAATATATCTGTAAAAGAAGAGGAACCCTCAGGGTACATGGTGAAGACTTCTTAGAAAGATAACACAAAATGATTTTTATGGCCT